GTTTTGTAGTTTTAATATATTATTACCTTGGATAATGTATCTTTTGAGTTTTTTTTTTTAAATATATCATCACATTGAAGCAAATAGACTCATTTATATGATACATTCATTAAAAGATTAAATTCAGCCCTCTGTATTTGAAGGCTTGTGTTCCACCCTTAGTATTAACTATGTAAAGTTGCTTGATATGTGGTATTTAAAGTCCTAATATCATATCATACCAATTTATTTAAAAAGTTGTTTTAATAATTAAAATTTAATCAATGATACGATATATTTTGAATTTATTTAAATACGATCAATAATACAATATATTTTGAATTTTATATCATCTTAATTTCAATTTCTCTAAATTTTGAATTTCTATTTCTATTTTTTAAATTTTAATAATTAAGGCTATTCGACGACAGCATACATGAGTACATGGGGTCGTGTGCTACTCTTTGAGAACAATAGGTTACTTTAATTTTGAAATATTGTAAATTGTCTTTATTGAATACTAGTTGTGTATCCGTATAATGTGATGGGGTATAAGTTTTATGTAAGTGAGAATAGCGATTGACCATTACAACAGATAAACACAATTGCTTACAAATGATTGTTGCTAGGATTTTTTATATTTCGTCTTCCCGGGTTTGAATCAAACCCAGGCACTACCAAAGCCCATGATATTGAGATAGGTGTTTTATTTAGTTTAAGTTCTTGACTTGATAGAGTTGGATCATAAAAAAAGCAACAATAGCATCAAGCGCCTAAATGATCCAAAGTAGTATATTACAATTACCATCAAGGAAAAGAGAAAATGAAACAATAGCATCAAACCCATCAAAGTTTATGTTCATATATGTGTCAACAAGGCAATATAAGTTGCATACAAGCTGAAATCAAATGTATAATTATGTAGATGCAAATTAATAATGAGAATAGTCTAAGTTCGAATCAAATGCATAATATCATTATTGATGTTTTGAGATGGCTCATGCAACATCATAAGTGAATGAAGGTAATATAGATGGCTCATATAGCACCACAAGTAAATGAAGTTGATACATCATATCCTTATCTTTTCTTTCTTTTTTTCTTTGGCAAGATCCCATTGGTTTTAGTTATAACCTGTTGCTTTTGATCTTATCACAATCCATAACACCAGTGAACACTCAACACAAACAATAACTAAGGGGTAGTTTATCAAACACTTACACGGTAGGTGTTTACCGGCAAAAGTTAACACTATCATTTACTTACCGGGTATGATTTTAGTCCATCAAAACTACATCATATGCAACAATTTACCGATAAGCACTTATCGTGGTAAGAGTCGTTGCCCTCACTTACGGGGTAAGACTGTTGGTCCTTGTCTTGCTCTTACCGGATAAGATTCTTGGTCCTTACCATATCCATCCGATAATGTTAATGTGATTTGATAAGCCCTTACCCCGGTAAGCGTTTGGTAAACGACCCCTAATTATGTTTTAAAAAGAAACATAAATATACTTTTGTTTGAAATAGAAATAGAAATATAAATATATTTTAATCAGTAAGTCCTCTTTTTAGCAAGAAATAGGCAGTTACTAAGGTTCAAAACAAATAATATAAAATTAGATAAAAGAGAAATGACAAACCTGTGGAACTTCGAACCTCACATAACAACCTCCTAATCGTAAATCATTATGTATGTTTATTCCTCTTTGTCACAAGAAATGGAAATTTCGAGTCTACGACACATCTCGAAGCAACTGGAAACTGGTAATATTACATTTTAACTCATGAAGATCTCTATGTTTATGTTAATCCATCAAACCTGTTTAGGATATTGCAAATTTATTTTTTAATTTATAATATAGTGCCGACGTGCTTTCAAAGAATGTGGTGGAATTTAAGTTTATTTCATAATCTTATGTCCAATACAGTACCTAGAATCCGGTATTACATACTGGCATCTTTCTGCAGCCTTAAGAAGGAAAGAATAATAATCTGGAGGTAAAATTTGCACAACTGGCTCAAAACAAAGCGAAGGGTCATTTAACTTCTGTTGCTACACTACCATAGTATTGAGTCCTATTGGAACTCCTAAACTTATGTCGATATACTTCTTGAATTTATTTGGGTGCATTTGTTTGAAGTGGCATAATTGGTTTAGATAGTAATGACCCTATCCCTATGCTGCCACAATGGATTTTTGAATATCAAATCTAATTCAATTTCAGACTAAAATTGGTGATATAAGATGGGGCTTATCGGGTCTTAAAATGTGGACAGTTGGCAAGAATTGAAACCCAATTGATCAATGATGGAAGAACAAAGGAAATGATGTTACCTAGAGAGTGATGGATTGAGGAATCGATGTTCAATTGGTAAATAGTAATGAACTCGGATGGGGTACACAGTAATGAGTTAGGCCAAGCAAAAACAGTAAACAGACAAAAGGTTAATAAGTATCATTGGTTTAGATAAAACAAACAACAAAGAGGAAACATATCTATAAACTATAATCCATACAATTATAAACTACACAAATTGCACTCGTTGTCCAGATTATAAAGATTAGATTATAAAGAATGCGATTGAGATAGATATAACAACCGATGCAAGCCAAATAACAGAGGTAGATATAGCAACCAATGCAAGCCAAAAAATCTTGTCATTTGCCTCACATAAAACATACATCGTGAGAAAATTAATTCATTTATTTGATTCTACTGTTATATCCACTATGTAGTAAGTTCACAATTTTTACCAACAGTAACATTGTAGTTGGAACCTGGGGTCCATATAAGTTGACTAATATGTCACTTAATCAACAAATGTGTATAGTTTAGTTTGAAGAACCATTAATATTTATTCTTAATAAAAAAGAGGGAGATTGGCAATCTATTGCAGCAGGTCTGCTCTTCACAAATCCATGGTCTGGGCTAGAAGCCAAGTAACTAAACTTGTGAGAGTAGGAGGGTGAGCTACCTAACCTTATTGACGTTTATGCCAACTTTCTCAAACACATGCTTTATGGGACTCTGTTTAGTTACAATTCTTTAACAAGCGGTGCCTTTTGACTACCAGAAAATTTTGTAGAGATAAAAAACTTAGTACACAAAAACTATGCAATAAGCTAATCTAGTAGTGTTTGTATCTAGTGTCACTTTTATTTCTTAACCTTCTACTTGATACAAACACTAATGTTGGTTCCTTGGTTACTATTTTGGGATTGTTTTGATACAAATACTGCTATATCGGGTCTTACATTGTGGTATGTTACAAAAGGCCGATGGCTTTATAGTGAGTGGGAAGATTTGATTTGGAGCTCAAAAATGAACTCAAAAACAAAACAAAAACTTAGAACTCAAAAAAACAAAAAACTTAAAACTCAAACGCAAGTGGGAACAGGGGAAACACCTTTGAAGCATTTTCTCAAACACCTGGCGGTAACATGGGAAAACATGAAATATAAAAGAAAAAGTAACTAACCGATGGAAATCAATCCTCTAGGGGAATAACAACTACAGGTGAATCGATGAAAATCCAATACAATTAGAAAAAAAAAGCAATACAATTACTTGGAAATGGAAATTGATGAGAAGAACAAGGGAAAGACCTTTGAATGTGGAACAATCGTATGTATCGGCTGAATCGAGTGGAAGAGGAGCGGTATGAGGAGCGGAGCGATCATTTATAAACCTGAATCATTGCCTTGGGGACTGAATCGCCATCTTTGTAGGAGGAGAGCCAGAGAAGTGTCAGAAATTGGATGAGGGTGGAGCGTCGCTCCTTGGACAGAGAGATAGAGATATATATATATATATATATAGAGAGAGAGAGAGAGGTTATCAATGTGTGCTTGATAGAGTAGTACGAAATGCAAAAGATGTTGTTTTTAAGACTTTTGTTAAATCTCATTGATAAGGTAGTATAGATTTGTATTATTTATAAAGTGTACTGCACCGTAATTTGCGCGGTATTCAACAAATAATTTAAGAATTCTTTTTATTGATTATTTTTATAAATTTAATTTATTTGTTGTGTATAATGTAAAATACAAATACACTTTAACTTATATGGTATACATTTTAAAATATAGCCAAAAAAAATATTACATTCTCATACACCCGATTAATTTATGTTATTTTTATATAA